TGCAAAAAAGTTTAGTTGTGATGAGAGTAGATCTAAGAGCCTGACAGGTTTTATTGTACAAGGACAGGATGAAAGCATGATTGAGGAAAATTTATATAACAGCTAATGTGAATGGTATGAGCACCAGCAGATAGAAATTCCTAATGTTGTATTTGCTCTTTTGATGTTCCATTACTCCATGTGCTACAGCTGCGTAACTGAGCAGAAGTTCTGTGATGAATCTTACGTAGCTTATGTGTTTACATTATTCAGTTTGGGCTGCACTGAAAAATAGATGTTAGTCATTATTCCTTGTGGAATATTTTTCTTTTTTGAGAGAGGATTCAATTCTGTTTTGAAGCTTAATAAATTAATACTTGTGTGATGGTTAATAGTAATATTAATTCTGGACTCCCCAAGTTTACCAATTCACTTTATGGCTTAGATATATGAAGTTGATGACATTGAATCATTATTGAAGATACATTCTAAAAATCAGAATATAATTTTTTAGTAGTTATTAGTTTTGATGCTTCTTTTTTTGAAAGTAGCACCATCTATCGAAACTCTGTAAGTGAAGTTCACAATTCAACTTTCAAGTAGTAATTCTTGAAAAATCTAAATAACACATCTATAATTATCCCTCAAAGGGCTTAGCAGATGGAGTTGCAATTACTGTATTTCATAGCTCTGATGTATAACATAGGCTCAGCAGAGAGGAACTGTGGGGTTTGGATTAAACAGGGCGGTGTGTTAGATTAATTATATGCAAGTCTCTGTTAGAATTCTCAGTGGCCAAAGACTGAGCAGAAATCCTGTCTTCCCACTCTTCTTACCTATTTATGTAGCATGTTAAATCAGAAAACCAAAAAGAAACATTTTCATGCCTTACTATTTGTTCCTTTTGGTAGAACTAATTGCATTAATACAGCTCGTTAAACTTTAATTGTTTTCCCAGATCTTGAATTCTATTTATGCACCTTCTATAAGTAAGGCTATTCCTGGGGAAAGCCAAAGAAGACTCTCTTTTCCTTATTTGTCATATAAAATCTGGAATTTCAGAATAGTTCAGATTTAACATACCTATCTAACAAAGCTGGCTTCTTTCCTTAGCCCTTGCAGGACATGTTGATACAGTTGTAGGGTCTCTGGGCACTGTTTATTCCATTTCTTTCACCATTTGTCAAAAGGATGTAGATGATTGTTAAATGTAATGTTAGTAAGGGGGCACTAATTTTTGGCATGAAACCTGGGAAGCTGTTGATGAAATATTTGTGGAAGCCATCTTCTGTGAATCAGACTTGGCCTCACATATTGTCTGAATTACGTGGCATGGTAAGAAAATGATAAAGTCTAAAATCTCCTAAGATTATCATTAATGGCTATGGTAGAATGAAGACCCAGTCGCGCAGAACCAGGGAAACAACTATATTATACACATGGGCACCATGTGTCACCACAGCAAGTGTCTGAGGCAGGTACATCTCTGCTCAGAATTAGAGATAAAAACTTTACTTTTGTAAGTGAAAACAAGGCAGTAATTATCTCCAGGCAAAGAAAATATTTACAGTTAGCAGACATTGTAATTATGAAAGGCTCTTTTTAGCTTGAATCAAAATGAGGATGGATTCTCAGCAGCCTGAGGTATGGAATAGGGTTGTGGGGAGAATGGCTTGCAACCAGAGAACGGAGACAGAAGCCTGCTGCACAGATTGGGTAAACACTGGGGATTCAGAGCGTAAACACAGAGACGCTGTAGCTTGAAGAGCACAGTTAAACATTTTCAATTAATTTGTTTAATTCAAGCCAGCTCAGAAGATATTTGTGTACATCTCTGATGTTTAAAGGGTCATTTAGACCTTGGAGATCAACAGAAGGACCACAATGAGTGAGGCCCTTACCATTTGTTGCTTAGAGACTTTCGGGGTGTACGGACCTGGAAATAAGCAGAATTGTGTTAGTGCTGGCACAAGAATACCAAGAAAATTATATATTTCAAATTGCTTGTAAAAGTTAACTTTATGTAATAGTTAGAAAGACAATGAGTTTTGAAGGGAAGTGGTATTAATTTTTCATTTAAACTGGCAACTTTTGGTGAAAGTATAGTAAGAAATGATGAGGGCTAAACAAGGGACTGTCTTTGTTAATATGAGTGGGGAATTGCCTTTACAAGCAATACAGTCCTATTGAGGGAATAATTGAGGATGTGGTAGAGATATTAAACTATTACAAGAATTCTAACTTGAATGACTGGGACCCCAATAGCAATGTTACTGTGCATTGCTCTCCCTCAGTGCCCTGTGAACAATCTGCCCAAACCAGAGTGGAAGGCGGTTCACAGCGGTAATGCGAGGGCCGACTGTGGACTTTTTAATTTAGCTCAATGTATAGGAAGGCTTTTTTTTTTTTTTTAAATTGAATCAGAGTTTGGAAATGTTTTCAGTACAAGGCTGTTAAGTGCTGAGATAAAAATCATTTCTATCTTCAACAGATTTGGGCAGTAGAATTAAATAAAAATGCTTTTCTAAAAAAGTCCTAAGTAGATAAAAGCTTTTCATATTGTGATAGCTGTAGATAATGATTTCAACCTGTATTCTAGCAGTGAGCAGGCAGAATGAGGGATCAAATATCTTTCATGTGCTGTTTATCAAAGTTAAAATAAATGTGATCATTACAAGGACAAAAACACGGAGGCCGTTCAAGAAGAAGAAAGTGTATTATGAGAAAAGCGGAATAATTTTCTACCTTCTTTTTACTAACTCTCTTGTTTCTGCTTAGGGGAAAGATATTTATATGAATTTATAAACTGCAATGAATCATTTGAATTTGGAATAAGGGCAGCATGAAATACGTTTCCCAGTGTTGATGTGTATTGTACATTAGAGACATCATGGTAGTATTCTAATTTTGCAGTTGTCCATCAAGTTAGGGCCTAGGGCTGGCTATGTATGAAGTTCCAACATTCGTATTGCAAAGAAACTTACAATTTTGGGGATATAAAAATGAATATTAATAAAAGTTGGCATCCACTTTGGTTATGACACTTGCTAAAAAATAAGAAAAATTAACAGTAATTAAAGTTACTAATCCTAGAAGTTAATGTGGATACAGGTCTTATATGTATAATAGATATGTTTTAGGAAAAAATCAGTGACAATACATTTAAAAATTATGTTTTTCTCCTTGCCTGGCTGCATGATTATGAGGTGATTGTGTTGGGGTAGGGAAGAAAATAAATGGAAAAAATAAATGGTGCTACAGAAGAACTGACACGATCATGAAGAGGTGGCAGCGTGGGTGGATGTTGATTTATAGAGGAATTGACTTCATCTGTCGCAGTGGTTCTCAACCTTCCTAATGCCGCAACCCTTCAACACAGTTCCTATGGGTCACGACCCACAGGCTGAGAACCGCTGATCTATAGGGAAGGGTGTCAAATGGACTGAAAGTTTCCTTATGTTTTAGGATGCCTTTTGCCGTGATATTGTTAGGAATAGGCATTATGTGATCGTTTCAGGACTTCAAATATTTACATTTAAAGAAGTTATCACGTGAAATGCTTCAAACATAACAAAAGGCAAATATGAAAATATAATAAGTACACAGGTGTACAATTACCGTGCTAAAAGCAAAAGCAATGAACGCCCAAGTCCCTACCATTTATGTTTAACAAACATAATAATTTCATTTTTTAATAGTTTTTAAAACAGAAATATAACATTTCAGTTTGAGTTGAAAATTCATCTTCACCTTCCCCAAACATGTTTGCCTCTCAAGGAATTACAAAATACGCTGTTGTATGACAAGGCGATATGGTAATATGCGTTTAAATAATTTAAAAGAAGCTGTAAACAGTTTAGGAATGATTAATTGAATTTCTCCTCAAAAGGAAATCCTCTGAAAGCAGAGAATATGTTGTTTGCCAGCCAAACGCTTCACAGTTTTGAACTTTGGGAAATTTTTCTGGTGCCTTTGCTCCCCATATTTATTTATTTTTCCTTGTATATTATTTTGTACAAAGAACTTCAGTGCCAAACTCTTAACATTGGTTACTTTTGGGTGCAGAGGATTAGATCATGGCAAAATTCTACATTCTAACTATTTTTTGCCAATATTTTTACCGTTGTTTTGGAGATAGAAAGGTCAATGTTAAACATAGGTTCTATTAAATTATCTTCTAAAATTTAGTATCAAATTCAGCATTTCCTTTCCACAATGGACGCAGTATGAAAAGAGGATTTGCAATAGCGTATGCACTGCCCGCAAACTGCGCGTCTAGCTCCCATACATATCTCTCTAATTCACACGGACACACACGCATCACCAGACAGATATGGACATTGTTTACTCATATTGCTCTTCTAAGTAAGTTCATGAAATTCATAAGGAAACCATATTCTCTCTATTAAATCATACTAGTTATAATTTGAGTGAGGGCTATTTTTTAATTTATACTCTTTACAGAGAACATTCTCTTTCTAACTCAGAATGGTAACAATTTGTTTTCACATATTTGAGTATGTCGCCTTGGAAAGGGAAATAATGCTTTGCCAATTTAAAAAATTGCCAATGTGTTCATAGTTTAACAAGCCTACTTTGGCGGAACAGCTAAAAACTCTCTCTGAGCCAACAATAGGAAAAATTTCTAACATAATTTATTTATGGAATCTAATATGTTAAACTTGTTTTTGATTATGCCTGGTTTTCTGTTTCTGAGCATAATCAGATTTTAAGTAAATCAGTTGCAAAGAATAGCAAAATTAACATTGGAAGAAAGATAAAACTATATTTTGATTTTTACTTTTTATTTTCCTTAAAATATAGGATGCTTTGGTCTCTGAGGCTCATCAATTATATTATAACATAATTACATATTTTATAAATTCATGAAAACAATTTGGTCTGTATTTTGTGTTTTCAACGATGAGAAACAGTTTCCAATGGCAGCGTGCATTGTGAAAAGACTTCTGTGTTCGTACAGTATTATGATCTCAGTAACCACTGTTTTGTGTTATTTCTAGATAAAAGAGTGGCTCTGTTTAAACTGTCAGATGCAAAGAGCTCTAGGAGGTGACCTGGCTCCAATTCCGTCATCACCCCAGCCAAAACCGAGGACTACCCCTGTTCCTCCTACATCAGCCGTGAGCAAAGCATCCCCACAGTCACAGCAGGTTTCCCCAAAGAAGGATACTGCTCCCAAACAGGATAGCTCCAAGGCCCCCGAGTCTAAAAAGCCACCACCACTAGTGAAACAACCAACCCTTCATGGTCCTCCCCCAGCCACTGCCAAGCAGCCTTCTGTGGCAGAGTCTTTGTCAAAGCCAACCCCTCCCAAAGAGCCTTCTATTCCATCTGAGCAGGCTAAGGACCCTGATGCTGATGACAAACCAAAGCAGCCCAAGACAGCAAAGCCACCGGTAGACATCGTATCTTCATCCTCAGCAGCAAAACCTGATATTAAGAGCTCCAAAGTGCCGTCACAGGCTCAAGAGGAAACGACTCCACCTCCCAAAGCAGACTCTGCCAAGCCTTCACAGAGTTTTCCACCAACAGGAGCTGCCCCGTTTGATGCTCAAGCCATACCTCGACCTGCATCAGATTCAAAAATTATTTCACATCCTGGGCCTGGTTCAGAGAGCAAAGATGAAAAACAAGTTGATCCAGTTCAGAAGAAAGAAGAACCTAAGAAAGCCCAAACCAAAATGAGTCCTAAACCCGATGCCAAGCCAATGCCAAAAGGGTCACCAACACCTCCTGGCCCACGACCTACCACTGGCCAAACCGTCCCTACATCTCAACAGCCCCCAAAGCCTCAAGAGCAATCGAGACGTTTCAGTCTGAATCTAGGAAGTATTACTGATGCCCCGAAATCTCAGCCTACCACCCCTCAAGAAAGCGTGACTGGAAAACTTTTTGGGTTTGGAGCATCAATCTTCAGCCAGGCATCAAATTTGATTGCTACAGCAGGACAGCCCAGCCCTCATTCCCAAAGTGGGCCAGGGGCTCCAACAAAACAAGTCCCTCCTCCTACACAGCCACCTGCTTCTCAGGGGCCTTCCAAATCCACGGTTCAGGCACCACCAGCACCTGCAAAGATTGTACCTGTCAAAAAGGAAACAAAAGCCCCAATAGCTGAAAAATTGGAACCCAAAGTTGAACAAGTTCCAACAGTCAAAAAAACAGAAACAGAAAAGAAACCTCCTCCACCTGTTAAGGGTACCAAACCTTCAACAGCTGAGCCTCAAAAGGCGGTTCTTCCCCCCAAACCAGAGAAAACTTCCAAACCAGAAACAGTCTGTCCTCTCTGCAAAACCGCGCTCAACATAGGTTCTACGGATCCTCCTAACTTCAATACTTGCACTGAATGCAAGAACCAAGTGTGTAATCTCTGTGGATTTAACCCTACGCCGCACTTGACTGAGGTAAGCAGTGCATGTGTTACCCGTGGCTATGAATGTGTCAGTTTTTTCTGAAATGTTGTGGAGGCCGAATTTCTGAGCAAAAATGCATTTCTAGTGAAGAAAACAATATTGATACATCTTAGAAGTTTCAGTTACTTATTACACGTTTACTTTCTTATTAAGCATTCATGTTATTTGTACTTTTCTGGGTTAATGAACAATAAGTAAGATGGTTTCACTCAGCTGTCTTTGATTTTGTAATTCATTATAATGGAAACACTGAATAGGTTTTAGCATCCATATGAAAAAAGCCTTAGAGTTTTTTGACTTTTTTGGTGGGATTTTTGCATTAAATAATTTGTTAAGAATAAACTATGGAAAAAATGTATTTTTTACTTTAAAAGACTTTAGGCGTCTTTGATGTAATTAGCATCTGATGTTGCCAAAGTCTTATGCAGACTTTATTCCTCTCTAGCTGTGATGAATTATGTTAACAGGGATCCATTTTTAAAGGTAGATAAATTTTGGTTTCTCTCAGTATTTTGGGAGTGGTAACAACTGGAATTATCATTTACAGTGTCTTAGATTCAAGGTAAAAGCAAAACAAAAACCAATTATATATATATATTTTTAGAAGACCAGTTTTTGGTTGCACATTCTTGAGAGGAAAATTGTGTTTTTCCCCAATACAATTTTATTACTTTATGTATTTAAAAAATTGTACCTTTTAATGTGGACCCTTATGGTGTCAACATGATGCAATTAATTGAAATTGTTTTAAACAAAGCTGCAACATTAATTTAAAAATTATAATTTGTGCATAAAATGTAAACAGCACGAGTATAGAGGACTATAAATTGTAATTTACAATACTGTGTAGGTTTATGTGTATGTATATAGGTATGTGTGTACGTTGATATAGTAGATGATAGTGATTATTAGAATTCTGTCAATGTTTGGAAGTAGGAAACTAGAGCTCCTTGGATAGACAGCAAATCTTTCAGGGAAATCTTGCCTTTTCTGTGTGTTGGTAAATTATATTTTGGAAGCAATCATTTGGAAAGGAGATTTCTTGAATAAAGCAGAGAGTAACTGAGGATGTGTGCAGAACTTCAGTTTGCATAATTTGAAAATCTAAATTGTCTCAAGTATTTCGATGGTTTAGATGAGGTCCTATTTTAATATAGTCTGTGGGATTTAGACAATCTGTCATTGCTCAAATTATTGTGCTCTGCAGTAATTTCTTTGAGTTTGGAAGTACATCTTTCAGAAAGGAAGACAGTCTGTAACAGAAGCAATGAGTGTTCCTGGCTCATCTTGGCTGTGCTAATCTATACTATTTTATGCATAGTATAAAGTCTCCATGACCTCTGGTTTCTAGGTAAGTCCGCTGGCTGGCCTTGCATCAGGGAGTGAAGGAAGGTTAGTTGAGTTAGTCTATGTTCAAGTAGTTTCTGTTTTAACCCACAGGGCTTTGGAGATATGGCAAAAGAGTTGGTTGAAAAGAATGGCATATGTTTGGATATGTGTGTTTGTGCTTATGTATACATCTGTACATAAATATAAACATATGCACATATACACACACTTATATACTGGTGTATGTAAATGCACTGAACTCTAAATATGATTTACAGGCTTAATTCACAGTGTGATCCCAGTGTTCATACTAATAAATCTTTCTGTGTTTCTCTCAGTGGGAGTTAGGAAAGTGTCTCTTTCTGGATCCGTATTTTGTTTCTGTGTTTTTCCTCTTTCTACTGGTGATATTTTCTTGTGATCCATTATTTTCTGCTTGGCTGGTTTCTACTGTAATTTCATGGAAGTTTATGATAGAACATTCTGAAAATATTCAAAGTTTAAGCCTGAAGTGCAAAGAAATGGTATTTCTTAAAAAAGATTTCAATGATTTCTAATAACGCATAGTTAGCTCTCTACTGTAAGCCTCTGCTTCTCCTCTCCTAGTCACTATGCAGTAGGGCTATTTTTCCTGCTCCCCCAGCCTGGCTTCAGTCCCTTTTGCTGCTTTGTTTTTCTGGTGGTAAGAAGAGATCATCCACAGGTTGTTACAGGTGGGGGAACGGGCCCCTCCTTAATCAAACACACCTGTCTTTAGGGTTGTTTCCTGTTACACACCACATCCCAAGCTGCACCTGAGAAGTGCCAAGTGACACCTGCTGGTCCCTGGGTGAAGCAAGACCTCAGCCTGAGCGCCTCTGTTTAACTGTTTAATGCTCGGGTTGTATAGATAGTGCTATAATCCATTAACCTCTGCGTGCAAGAGACAATTCTTTTAGGCTTTAATTGCCACCAACTCAGGGAATATTTTACCTTGGAGGGAATTTTAACAGTAGCGATAGGACCTTCTGAAAGACCTAGTCTTAACGAACTGGGAAGCATGCTGAGAAAAACAGCCTTAGTTGGCAATAAAATTACCTAGTGAATTTTAGTCATTCTTGTTCAGATAAAATGCAAAAGGAGACAAAATTATTCATGGTGGGAATTTATTTTATTGTTTTTAACCACTCTCTTTTATAGTATCTTTCTATTGCGAAAACAAGGCTTAAAACTAAATATGCGTCCTCATGTTTTAGGATAGCCTAGAGTTATACTTTTGCTTCCTTAGCAAAATAAGTATGCTTGGCCTAAATGATGTTGGAGTAGCTAGCATTTATTTATCACTAGACAACAAAAGAGCCTTTGGAGCTGATTAAACCCACTGGTATAACTGAGACCCTTCAGATCTTCACTCTCTAGCTGATTAAACCCACTGTTATAACTGAGACCCTTCGGATCTTTACTCTCTGGCTGCTTAAACCCACTGGTATAACTGAGACCCTTCGGATCTTTACTCTCTGGCTGCTTAAACCCACTGGTATAACTGAGACCCTTCAGATCTTTACTCTCCGATGGCTAAGGACCCTGGAGTATCAGGTTCAGTGTGGAGATGCAATTGTAGTTAACATTGCCACCACTACTGTAAGGGAGAGAGTCTCTTCTCAGTGTAGCATCCCCAAACTTAAATTATTATATTTAAAATAATATTTCTTAACTTGAAACTCTAAAAATACTATGACAATTTTGCTTGTATTTGTAGTTTTTTGATTACCAGGGTAGCTTTTTAAAAAAATTTTAGACATTAAATGAATTAGATGATTCTAATTATAGTTCAGACAAAACGTTGTGCAGACAGTGTTTGAGGAGGTAAATTGAAATCAATCCTGCTACTGCTTTGTGTTTATTCTAACAGGGCTGTTTTTTGACCAGACCTGTGTAAGAGAGTCATTGTGCCTCTCACAACAACCCTGTGGGGTAGTTCTTACGTATATTATAGAGATTAGGAGAAGGAGTATCAGAGATACCACCTATAACTAGTTATATTTGTGTATCAAGCCGCAAATTAAAATTCAGAGGTTGAGTCAGTGGTCTCTTTACTAGACTATGTTTACATAACCTAGGGAACTAGATGATAGAGGCCACTTGGCCTGCGTTTTTGTATCTCTGAGTTGTGTCAATTGATGATGGCTAATCTTAATACCAACAAATTTATAAATTGGCGCATCAAATTCAGGTCACATGTGGGGCTGTGTCGAATACGGGCTGTGTCACACGGTTGTCAATTGATGATGGCTAATCTTAATACCAACAAATTTATAAATTGGCGCATCAAATCCAGGTCACATGTGGGGCTGTGTAGAATACGGGCTGTGTCACACGGTTGAGCTTAGAAGAACAGAGCTCATTTAGAGGTTCTGAAGCATAAGATCAACATATTGTACAAGTTTTCTCTCCAGCTAAGTCTACTAACTGGTCAGCATTCTTAGGTAAAATCATATGACTCAATGATCAAATAATGTCCCTGCCTTCATTTATGTTGAGAGTGTGAATATAAAACATACTCATTTCAGTGGGAAGAAATACTGTTATATTCCTGCCAGTGCATGCAAAGACTTTACTCTTTGAAAATGATAGATGTCTTGGTGTTCCATTACGGTGGTGCTGGGTAGGAGTTGAAACTTTGCGTCTGTCTCTTAATGTTTTTGTTGGGTTTTTGTTACCTTCCAGAAAATAGAATTACAGGTCCATAGTTTATTCACATCCTAAACTGGTTCTCCACAGTGGTTGTATCAATTAACATTCTGGTATAATTTAGATGCTCTTTGCATATACTACTATTTTTCTAGAGATGCACTGTCTGAAATAATAGTCACTGGCTACATGTGCCAATGAGCACTGTGTCTAGTTTAAATTAGAATTCACTTTAAGTGCAAAGCACATATTGAAGTTCAACAACTTAGTATAAAAAATGTGAAATATCACAAAATAATTGTGTGTTGATTATATATTAAAATAATAATATTTTAGAATATTGGGTGTGTATTGTTCTTATTTAATGACTTGTTCTCACACCTGATCTTTCATGCAAGCCATTTATTTTTATTTCCTGGGTCTTGGGCTTTATCCTACTGATCCGATTGTTATCTTTGTAGGTATTCATTAGTATTTTTCAAATGTATAACGTCTGTAAGGTTTCCTTTGGCTTATTCTAAATTCATTCAGATTTGATTAATACTATGTAAAGGTTTTATTCCTTAAATACTGCTCTTAGTACTGCCTTTTTAACATTTAACTTGGAATTTCATATGCATGCACTGTATTATACTGCCATGTAAAATATATTTCTTTCTCTCTGTATGAGAAAAACATGCATATTCTTGTATTCGTTGCAATGTAATTATCTCTTCCAGGTTTCAACTTCCTCAGGTTGCACAAGATAACTAGTTATATTTACATGCTCTGCCAAGTAGATGGATCAATCTCAGAGCTCCTATCATCCAAAAATACACTGCCAATGCATAGTGCTGGCCAGGAGATCAAATTCTTAGGTCCTGCTAATCATTGATAAACAATATCTGTACTACCTAATATATCCTATAGCCAACCAAGATATCCTGTATTCTTGACTGACCCTTCCGATTCCAAGTAATTCCTCTGTTATTGTCAGAACTCTTAGAACTATT